GAATAACTGATGTTATTTTGAAATAAAGTGCACATCTATATAGCAAGCCTTTATTTCGAAATAATGTCAAGCTGGTGGACTTCTTACTCCAACTCCTGTGACCCTCATTTCACAAGGAGTAAGGGAAGTCGAATGAAGAGCGTAGACAGTGCCGAAAGCCGAATTAAGCTATTTAAACGTCAGCTACACAACTGACGTAGTTGAAGCTGCGTATCTTAATTCAACTTTTTCCCTGCCATGTAGACGTACCCTTAGAGAGAGAGAGAATTGCTGAGTAATGCTAGACTGACAGCTGCAGAGCTACAGATTAGGTACAGGACAGACAGTAGCAATATCTTCACATTTTGCCTTTGATGTGGGTTATCCCTGTTGAGGGAACCGATTCTTATGAGAGTTCTGGTTTAGTGCCCATTCAGTCCTTGCTCTTTCTTTTCAGACTGCCACCTAGTGCCAATAGTTTTGATGATTTGATTTAGTAATATGGACATCTGCTTATTAGGAAATGGACCGAGAGCCCTATATTAATTTCATACATACAAAGGGATGTTAGATAGCAGTTATTTTATTTTTCAGCATGATATTCTGTCATTACTCTAATTTTCCATCCAGGCTTTTCAAATGCTCCAAGTCAGATACCCTTTCCTACTGAAAGCTGGATATACCTCCAATTCCCACTCCCTACTATCTATCAACACTGATCCCACATTGTCACATGTGTCTTGTATGCCAATCTGTCTCCATAATACTATCTGGTCCTACTGGCTCACAGACCATGGGAAAACCATATACTGTATCCCTGCTAGCCACAATTCAGCTCATTTTTATGAGCCTATTCCTGCAACCGTATACAAATAGAACTTCCATTGAAGTGACTTCAATGTATACAATGCACATGTGGAGACAGTACTATCGAGTCTCATATACACAAAAATATCAAACATTTATAATTAGTAATCATTATGAAGTGCCAGATTTCTACTAAAAGGAGAATTTGATAATTACTATAGGACTAAGAATTACAACTAAAAATAGATAAATAATGGGAATAGTGTCGAATTGAAAAACAAATTAGGGTAAGTCCTTAGATCTTCACTCTGTTCACTCCTTACTCAAACTCTGATAAATCAATGAGAGCATGCCTGACCTAAAATTAAGTAAACACTTCAAAGGTTCTCAAGATTTAGACCTTAGTTAAAAATACCGATAAAGCCTGGGATTATTATAGGAGAAAAAATATTAACAATCCAATTTGATACTGTTGATGCTGTTTGTTTATTTTCTGAATTTTCTTGGGCCAGACAAGCAAAATCAATGAAGTCAGTTTCATTTTTGTTTATAGCCAGTTTCACAGTGCTGCAAGATTTGAGTTGCAAGCCCTGAAGACAGAACAACTGGTTGTTTTAAAAACAACTGCTTCCATTGGAATGTTTAAAAGAATTTTGAAACACTTCTATGGGTCTTATGCTTAGTCAAAGTATTTTTCTCAAAAATCTACATCTCCTGAAGTTAGACTTTAGTTATTAATTTCCCTTTCACATTTGTAAACTACTCACAATAGGATTCATCTTCCTCAACACATCATCATGAATAGTACCTAAAAATTATACAGGAACTAAACTAATTGGATTATATGGGGGCATATCATGCCATTAGTTTATAAACAAAACCCCTGTTTGATATATTTCTGCTTAAAAACTAATGGCACAACATGCACCATAGAAATGGAATAGGAGTCTCCTTAAATGACTTGTAAAACCTATACAACCTGAGTATGCACTCCTGCCTGTGGGATTTTTAACCACCATACAGAATTTTATAGTAGAGATCTCATTCACCATTTACATCTCAATTTTATATAAATGATAATAGATTTTCTAAAATGCTCTGCAGCTGTTCCCTTATGAATAAGCTGAGCCCATGGAGAAAATGTGGAAAAGGGAAAACTGTAAGTAATATTTACTGTTATGATATAGCCAAATCAGGAAATTACTATAACTGTGTATATCAAACTAAACAAGATCAATATTTATCTCTCCTACTGAAAAAAATACTAAAAAGAATTTGATGTGGTATTTATTTGACATTTGGGTTTAATTATCTGGCATTCCCACGTTTTGGCCTTGCTAAAAAAAAAAAAAAATCTAGCACTCACATTGATATAAGAAAAGTTAAAGAGGCATATATGCATGCCATTTAGTCTAAAATTATGTTAGCTACAGGGCATGGCAAAGCATGAAATAACTGCTCCAGAGTACTTCCTCATGAGGGTGTGTTAGATAACTGTCTGCTCCAACACTAAAATAAAGCATACTATGAGCCACTCGCTACTGTGGGGTTCTACTTTGACTAAAAAGGTTGGTAAGACTAGAACACGTAGAACCCACAACAATCAGTGAGGTTGTGTAATATCAGGTCTTCCAACTCTGTTAAACACCTCTGCACCAAAACACTTTTGGCTTTTGAAGTTCCAACTACATCATCATATGCTGCCTTTAAGTTTACTGAGGCACATTCTCCCCTTTGCTGTTGTATACACACTACAAGTAGACTTTGTGCCACAGACAGAGCTGAGATTTTCACTAGAAAATACTTGGGTTTCGCAGAAGAATTAAATCATTTTAATGGCAAGTATTACAGTTTCTTCCTATTGGATGATAAAAAATGTTTCTCATATCCTGTTTCTCCTACTAGGTAATTCTTCTTGCCAGGGTTTCCATAAAATTATTTGATTTTTTTAAAGTTATTTGGAAGAGTTGGGATAGGACTATGGCTTCTGTTAATCATATGTTAAAGAGTCCCAATGTCAGGTTCACAAAACCTCACACAGATAAAAATTGGTGCTGTAAGAGATCATGCACCTGTATTGATTCAAAAGAAAGTGGCAAATGTCTGGAAAAACACACGCATACTTCATACTGAGAAATGTGTGTGGGGGGGGGGAGAGAACTGCTAATATTTCAACTCCATCCTTCCAGACTAACTCCCAACAAAATGGCATCAAGTGTTCCCCCATTTGATACCCCTTAATTTTTGGAAATACTTCAGTTCATTCTATGCTCAAATCAAAGCTTCAAGGCTTAAGATTAGGGGGAATGGGAATATTTTACTATTATGACACGTAATTTGTGGCAATAAAAACATTTGAAGTTTGTCGACCAACTGTTAATTAGGTGCCTGAGTTGAAAAGAGGCAGGAAAGGGAGTAGAAAACTCTAAATTTCATTCCCGAGCTAACAGAGGGACCACCGATTCTTTACAAAATGCTACCGAAAGCCACTGAGAAGTTCCACTTAGGCCATGGAAAAAATTAATAAAACGGAGCAAATAAGTTCTGTATTTACAGAGCCAGTGGATTATTTGCTGTTTTGGATTTAAAATAACTTAGTTTGTCCAGTGAGGAATCATTTTAGTTGAAATGAGAGTTATAAAGATACGGGATGTAAAAATACAAAACAAAAACCTGTTGGTACCAAAAGTTGTCTACTGTTCTAAAACAAAAGATTTTTAATAAACCTTTCACAAAATTTGAACCCTGATAATGTGTTGAAAAATCTACTTTACAGTCCCAGGTGGGCAAGGAATATTGCTTTATGGACATGTGTTATCGGAAAGGCCTAATGGATTTTTTTAAATAGTCTGCCTCTTACTATTAAATAAATAATTTGCTATTTAAAAAGGTGATTGTTATTGTCAAGAGATTTCCACTGATCAGCGTCCATTTTCTGTAATTACTCACGGATTCTTCAGAATGTTTTATATAACTCAATTCCACTCACTGTCTTAAATTTTTCCACCAACAGAACAGAGGAGCAGTTTTACTCTCCGACAGCACCGACAAGAGCTCAGATTAAAAGCCCATTTCAAATGGATCTGTTTAACCAGCCTACAGAACCTATGAGAAGCCTAGTGTTGAAAAACTCAACATTGTTAAATGGGCTGTGAAAGGCAACACAAACCCAGAAAAATAATAATTAATCCACATACACACTCTATGTTTGAAATAACAAATACAAAGGTTATTTATGGAATGAAAACATGGTAAATAGTTACTGTTTCTAGACAAAATGGCTTAAAAGATTTCATAATTTGCTTCCTCTGTACACGGGTATCTACCTCCCCCCTCCTCCAAATACACATACTGAAACACAAGCACAACTGTGTATAAAATGGGGAGGGCACTCAAAGATACAAACTCCCTCTTAGAAAGTTTGAATTCATATTAACCTAGTCATGCCTCTATGATGTTACATTATATCAGCAACATAAAAGTTAGAATATATCTCTTACTCCCTCTTAAGTAAAATAAAGAGTTAAAAAATTAAAAAGATTTAAAAAAAATCTATCAGGGAAAAAGTACACAAATGATAGTTAAAATCACCTCTCCTTCTCTTGTCCCCTCCCCCCAAAATTTTTTTAAATAAAAATCCTGGAGAAATAGTGGAACCTGCTTTCAGTTTTTATTTAATGTACAATAAATATGGACTTTAAACTTACAGTAGATATAAAACAAAGAACAAGAGTCACAATTAAACCTGGCCACTGGCAAGACAGCTAAAACTCATTGGCAAATACTAACAAAAACCCATTTAACAGTAAATAAGAAGAACATGATATATGGACGGACAGATGGAACTGCATAAACAGAAAAGAAAAAGCAGAGACCCACAGACATACGGAGAGGGCTGTTTTAAAAGAGTGAAAGATACTGATTTCCTTGGAACTAGTGTAGGAAAACAAACATATTTGTTTCCTTCACTGATGTTAAAAAAAAGTAATTAAAGTGAATCATAAGGGGGGCACACCCTGAAATAAGTAGAAGGGGGAAAACATTTGAAAAGGCTAAGGCCTTCTATAGATGTTCCAAATTTTAAGCAAGCAAATAGGTTTCACAAACTTAACATCTCTATATTAAAAATAAAGAGGGTGTGGTAAAAGGATAAAGAAGTGTCATGGGGTTTGGGGGAAGCAGGATTTTTTTTTTATAAAAGTTGACTGGCCTACCTTGTTCCCCAGTCCTCAGTTTGTCTCCTCATAGTCGCTGTCTCCCTGGAAGTACAGTGTGAGTGGTAATGACTGCCTGCCTCCCTAATGAGTCCATTTTCCTGCTCTTGATGTTGTGTATATACACACACTGCAACCTACCTTACAAACCACAGAGACGGGAAAGGGAGTGTGTGAGAGAGAGAGAGAGAGAGAGCAAGCGAGAGTGTGAGGGGGGGAGAGAGAGAGAAAGGCACACACAGACAAAGCCCTCCTACCAGACAGCAGACAACCCTCCTTCCCCTATCTAGCAAAATACAACTCGGCTAATGCAGCAACAGGTTCAATGCTGCCAGACTGAGAGTGTAAAAAAGGTATACAGTACAGATCAGGATTGCTGGCAAATAAACTGTTTACAGCCAGCTGGCTCCACCTTCCTTATTTATATTACAGAATGTTGGAATGCCTTGTTTCAGACAGTCCATGTAATTATCATAAATACATTTTTGTGCATATTAGCATGAAGCACTGAGACATATCAGCCATTCTGCTCTGTAACCTTATAGTTTTAACACATGCAGGGAAGGTGTAAACATATCTCTTTTGATAGGCAGGCTACACAAAGCTCACTGATGATTTTAAAGTCATGAGATCTTTCATGAACCAAGCTCCTGAAGACAGGTTTCCCCAGACAATAGGGAAGCAGGGAAAACTGATCTGGAGGAAGAGAAAGTCTCTACAAGAGGTTGCTCAGTAAGCAAACTAAACGAGAGGGCCATTCTCCCCCATTTTATATATATAGTATATTATATAGAGAGAGAGTAAGCTTCTGCCCCTACAGCTATAATAATAAACTGTGCTTATGTCTGAACAGGTGCAATGCATATAGTACATAGTGTTACAAGGACAGAAATAAATCCTTCAAGTAAAGAAATATTTTTCCAATGGCAACCAGGCCGAGGCTATTTAAAATAAAGGTCGGGGCTGAAACATGCTCCCCCACCCCCACCACATTTTTCCAAGGAGTGATAGAACCAAGTTTCAGTGTTGCCACGCTGATTATTTTTACAGAAAATTCAAATATTACTAAAAACATTGCCACATCTGGAGAAAATATATGGTTCACATCAGTAAACCATAGTAAATGCTACATGCTGCCCCTAAAATGTTGCCACAGCCTTCCTTTTCACCACACAAACTTTATATCATTATGCATACAAAACTTCTCTTGACTTAAATAAGCCCTAAGGTTGCAGATTCAGGAGAATAATGATACGTTGTAGTTATACGCATATCACCTTGAAGCTGAGGATCTCAAAGCATTTTTCAATGATAGGTACGCATTGATATTTTTATTGTCCCCATTTTAGATGGGGAAGCAAAGGCATAGAGAGATGAAGTGATTTGCCCAAGGACACATTGTGAATCAGTGACATAGCTGAGATTAAAGTCTAGCTCTTCTGGAGGCTAATCTAATGCTTTAATTATTAGGGAATTCTGCATCCCATGCTAAGTATTTAATCCTCCACCAATATGTTTAAAACATGTTGCTCCAAAGTGGATGGCTTAGTGATTTAAATAGGAGGTCCAAAACATCCAGACTCTCTAGATCAAGGTTGGGTAATAATTTTCACGGGGGGGGGGGGGGGGGTCAAAGGCTGGCTCCACCCTCTGGAAGGGGTAGGATCTGGGATAGAAAGGGCAGGGCTGGGGACTAGCTTCCCCCCGCGTTGTCTGTGAACGTAGTCTTTGAATTAAAAACATAGCAAAAGGTTTGCAGCTCCCAACCTTGCCACTACCATGTTGCCTGGCAGGTGCCCAGGTTACTGACACTATTTAAAGGGTTTGTGGCTCCAGCCCCTGCTGGGGTAGTGCTGCAACTAAAAGACGGGGGCCATTTAAATAAGATCCTGCTGCCTTTAGCCAGCGTCTGGAAATTCAGTGGAATGGGTAGCAGGATATAAAATAAAGTAATCAGATACAGTGCATGGGCCAGATCAAAGTGTTATGAGGGCCACATCTTGCCCAGTCCTGCTCTAGATCCACAAATCTGAATCCTAACAGTTGTCTACTTCATGCTTCATATAGTGAGTACATAATTTTAACTAGTCTGTAGCTGGTGCTTTTCTACATAAATAGCAAAAGCTCCCTTTACATGGTGATGTACTGTAAATACAGAGAAATTAAGCATGTTTTTCAGAAAGTTAATTTTTCAGAAACAATCTCCTCCCCCACCCCCATCAACAAATGCTGTTCATATTTTAGCGATGGGAGGCAGGGGAATATATAGTCAGAGTCTTAAAGATGGAAAAGTCACCAGTCCAACTCCTTAGGTAATACTGGAGCAAATTCACTATTGATATAAGTGAGGGAAAGACTTCTCTAGTCAATGAAATTGCTCCAAATTTATACAAGTTTCTCTGACACCAGAATTTGGTTCTAATACCACCTTTGTTTTCCTGAACTTCAACAGCATATACTACTGGAGAGGATGTATGTTCTTGTGGTTAGGACATGGGATTAAGCATGAAGTGGCCTCCAATTGTGGCTTTACCACTAATTTATTTCTGACTATGGAGGTATCACCTAATTTGTTAACATTTGTAAATGTCTTTGGTCTTTCTACGAAGGAAGATAGAATGATGTAGTATCATTGTCATTATGACAAAGAATACAGAAACTAAGTTCAGATTTACTGATAAGCATGAGTTAACCTGTGTGAAACTTCAGCAATTGAAGTTATTAGGGGTTTGTACACACACCTATACTTTTCATGTCACATGGGTAGTCCCTGAGGATATGTCTACACTAGCTCATTAGTTCGAGCTAGGTAGGGTAATTAGGACAAGCGGAGTTGCAAATGAAGCCCGGGATTTAAATATCCTGGGCTTCCTTTGCATGTTCCTGGGTGCTACCATTTTTAAATCCCCCTTAGTCCGAACTCCGTGCCCGCAGCTACACGCGGCACGGAGTAGGTAGTTCGAATTAAAGATCCTAATTCAAACTACCGTTACTTCTCGTGGAGTAAAGATTGTATCTTTAACTGAACTAACTAGAACTGATCTTCCTGAATCTTTGCAAAATTCAGCTATGTATCTGAGTCCTCCTCAAACTGCAGCAAAGCCGAGATCTGGATTTGAACTTCCTAACCTGGTATCCTTCATAAACTGAATTTAAACTATCCCATCCTTCCAATCTCACAACTTTTGAGAATCTGGAAAAGTTCAGCTCTCAATCCAAACTTTGCAACATAGGCTCATCTCTACCAAATCTTAAATCAAAATACAGTTAAAACTACCCCCAAGAAACCAGAGGAATGACTCAAGAAGAATCTGTTAGTTATCTTCCTCATACAGAGGCAGTTTAGAAATTTTCCTGGCAGGCAGAGGCAATTAAGAGTATGTGGGAAATGGCTTCCCTGGAGGCAGAGGCAGTTGTGTGCCTGGTAGTAATGATAGAGGGCTGTAGGCAGACACATTTGACAGGCAGATGTGGTGTATATCTCTCCCCTTGAGAAGAAATAGGAAATGCGGGGGCCCCTGTAAGTAGTGGCAACTGAGATAACAAAGGTGCAGATTTTGCAGATCCCAGGGGCTAAAATCTGTTGTTACTACAACACACAGCCCTGCAAATCCTGTCCCCTCCAGCAGACCTAACATGGAGAAGGAGCAAGCTATCTTGATTCACTAGTGTTACTATCAGTCATGATTCGCATGCCTCTAAGAACAGGAAAGTACCTGACTACTGGGATCTCGGCCTAACTGAGATACAACATCGAAACTGTGGGCCTGATTTTCCATTATCTTATAATTCATGCAGCTAGCTATTTAAACCTACCCAATAAAGTTGTAAAACATTAATGGGGTGTATGAGACTGGAGAATTTTGATTGGTGGTATCCTGCAACTCTATAAATTGCAATTAATTCATGCAATTGTCTCACAAAATTGTGATTAAAAATTGTGATTAACCACACTTAAAAAATAGAATACCAACTGAAATGTAAAATATTTTGGCTCTCTTTCTGAATTTTCAAATGTATTGATTTCTATTACAACAGAATTCAAAGTGTACTGTGCTCACTTTATATTATATTATATTATGCTTTTTTACAAATATTTGCACTGTGAAAATGATAAACAAAAGAAATTGTATTTTTCAGTTCACTTTATACAAGTAAGGGAGTGCAATTTGTAAGTGTAACTTTAAACATGTAGGGTTTTTTTTTTTTGTTACATAAATGCACTCAGACACAAAACATTGTAAACCTTTACAGTCTAGTGATCCACCCAGTCCTCCTTTTTGTTCAGACAATCTCCAAGACAAAGTTTGTAGCAAGTTTGGTTACAATTTGCAGGAGATAATTCTGCCCCCTTCTTGTTTACAGTGTCACCTGAAAGTGAGAACAGGCTTTCGTGTTGTACTTTTGTAGCCAGTATTGCAAGATATTTATGTACTACCAGATATGCTAAACATTCATACATCCATTCATGCTTAGGCCACCATTCCAGAGGAGATGCTTCCAGGCTGATGATACTCATTAAAAAAATAATGTGTCAATTAAATTTGTGACTGAACTCCTTGGGGGAGAACTGTATGCCTCCTGTTCTGTTTTACCTGCATCCTGCCATATATTTTATGTCGTAGGAGTTTCTGATAATGATCCAACACACTTTGTTTTAAGAACACTTTCACTGCAGATCTGACAAAACACAAAGAAGGAACCAATGTGAGATTTCTAAAGACAGCAACAGCACTCAACCTCAGGTTTAAGAATCTGAAGTGCCATCCAAAATTTGAGAAGGATGAGGTACAGGGCACGCTTTATAAAAATAACACTCCAATGTACAAAATACAGAACCTGAACCACCATAAAAGAAAATCAATCTTCTGCCGGTGGCATCTGACGTAGATGATGAAAATTAGTATATTTTGCTCAGTATCAAGCAGAAACCATCAGCAGCATGGATGCATGTCTTCTGGAATGGTGATTGAAGCATGAAGGAACATATGAAACTGAAGCACATCTGGGACATAAATATATTGTGATTCTGACTACTACAGTGTCCTGCAAACACCTGTTCTCATTTTCAGGTGACACTATAAATAAGAAGCAGGCAGCATTACCTCCTGTAAATTGTAACCAAATTTGTTTGTCTAAGCTGTTGGCTGAACAAAAAATAGGACTCAGTGGACTTGTAAGTTCTAAAGTTTTGCATTGTTTTATTTTTGAAAGCAGGGGGTTTTGTACATAATTCATACATTTATAAGTTCAACTTTCATGATGAAGAGAGTGGACTATAGTACTTGTATTAGGTGAATTCAAAATACTTCT